AAAAAAAAAAAAAAAAAGGCAGAGAAGGAGAAGAAGAAAAAGAAGAGCAAGAGGAAGAGAAACAGAAACAGGAAAACGAAAAGGAGGAGGAGGAAGAGGAAGAACAAAAAGACTGGACCAGATGACAGCACAGAAGATGGGTTGGACCTCTCTGTTAATCTTTCATTTAATCCTTATTTGAGGCTGACAAGATAGCTTGGCAAACTAAGTGCCTTCTTGGAAAAACATAAGGACCTGGGTTCAATCTCTGGCACCACATGCTGTACCCTGTGCCAGGCCAGCCACCAAAACTGGGTATGGTGGCATACACTTGTAATCCCAGTGCTGGGGAGGCTGAGACAGGAGGATCACTATGAGTCTTAGCTGCATAGTAAGACCTTATACCAAATACATAAATAAAATAATTTAAAAAAAATTTTTTAATCCTTATTTGGAGGAAAAGGGGATTTCTAGATTTTTTAATCAAATCCAATCTTTCAAGATTAGGTTTCCTTCTTGAAAAAATAACAGAACAGAGAATAGATTCTGCAACTTGGGAAGTTGAGGCAGGAGGACTGCAAGTTTGAGACAACTTAGTGTGACCCTGTTTCCAAATAAAATAAAATGAGATTGGATGAGTTTGGGACATAGCTTGCTGATAGAGCACTTGTCTTCATACACCAGGCCCTGGCTTTAATCCCCAGTACTTAAAGATATGTAGTGTAGTCTGAAGGGGAAGTAGAGTATTTAAAAATGTGTTTTATAACTGTTTGTGGTTTTAGTGTTTATTTACTTATATATTCATTTATTTTATAGGGTCTCTCTATATAGTCCAGGCTGGCTTTGAACTTGTTATGTAGCCCAGGCTGGCCTCAAACTTGGAGTGATCCTCCAGCCTCAGCTGCCTGAGTGCTGGGATTATAGAGGTGAGCCACCATACCTTTGAAAAACCGTAGAATATCCAGGAAAAACTTAGCGGAAGGCCTGCTTTTAGAGAGGCGATGGCATGGACGAGTCAGACCATGTACTCAGCTTTTCACATATTCTGACAACATCCACTTCCTCTTGACAACCATTTGTGAGGTGGATCATTAATGTCCTTATTTTATGGAGGGAAGAAACTAAGGTTTGAGACAGTTTGACTTGCAAGGTTCATCTGAATGGCAACATCAGGTGGCACACCAAGCAGTCTGATATGGAAGGCTTACAATTGCACACCGCCTTTAAAAATATTTCTGGTAAGGAAACCATTGAACACACAATAGTAGGATAGTATGGTGAAAACTCATGAATCCATCTCCTACCTCGAACAATTATTATTATTATTTTTATGGTATAGAGGAATGAACCCAAAGCCTTTGCACTGAGCTACATCCTTAGCCCTTTTATTTTTTTAATTTATTTTAATTTATTTATTTTTTTGCTCCCAATGCCTTCAGGGCAGGTTTGGCTGGCTTGAGCTGTGGGGATTGAACCACAGCAACCTGAGCCTGACTGCTTTGTGGAAGCAGCCACTTAAAGAACTGAGCTAACGGGCAGGCCCCCCCCTTTTATTTTTAAATTTTGATCCAGAGTCTTGCTAAATTGCTAGATTACTCAGTCTGGGCTTAAACTTTTAATTTTCCTGTCTTAGCCTCCCAGAGCACTGGGATTACAGGTGTGCACTACCATGCTGGGCTAAAAGTTATTAATTCATGGTCATACATAGTCTCCTTCTGCCCCTGGGACACAACAGTCAATGCCCACAATTTAAGGGAGAAGAAGTTTATTTTGGCTCAGTCTTCATGGCTTCAGTCCATAACCTGACAGAAAAAAGCTGCTGTGTCATGTGTGTCAGCCAGGAAGTAGAGAGAAGGAAGGAGCTACAGACAAAAATGTATCCTCGCAGGTCACATAGGCAGCAGCCCACCCCCAAGCAGGCCCCACATCCTCACTGCACATGCAGCTACTGAACTAATCCATAGATGAATCCCCCAGAGTATAGTAACACTTTAATTCAATCACCTTCCACTCATATGAGATTTTA